ATTATCCTCCACTTAGAGACAAATACCTACTCTCTAATAAACAATTTGGTTTTAAAAAAAACCCTATCCTGTAATCTGCAACTCTTACACTGCAAAAACATATGGACTACACAACTCAATCAGGGCAAAACAATAGACGCAATCCACATAGACTTCTGTAAAGCCTTTGATTCAGTGGTACAAGACAAACTACTCCTAAACTAAAATCTTATGGTATATCTGGACAATTGCATAACTGGATAGAAGCATTCCTGTCAAACAGACAACAAATGGTCAAAATTGGGAGCATCCTATCAAATTCTGTATCTGTCAACAGTGGTGTCCCCCAAGGCAGTGTTTTAGGACGAACTCTTTTCATACTCTACATAAATGACCTCTGTGATCATATTAAGAGCAACTGTGTTCTCTTCGCTGATGATGTAAAGCTACTACTACCCTCCAAAAAGACCTTGACTGTGTTTCAGAATGGTCAATCAAATGGTAACTTCAAATCTCAACAGATTAATGCTCTGTCTTACATATTGGCAGAAAAAATCAGAAAATAAAATACAAGCTAAATAGTCAAGACCTTGTTGAAGATCCAAACTTTGTCAAGGACCTTGGAGTACTCATCTCAAATGATCTAAGTGCTAGAGCCCACTGTAACTACATAGCCAAAAAGGCATTAAGAGTTGTTAATCTAATCCTACGTAGCTTCTTATCTGGTAATATCACACTACTAACTAGAGCATACAAAACATTTGCTAGACCTATACTTGAATACAGCTCATCAGGCTAGAACCCATATAATGTATCTGATATTAACACAATTGAAAAAGTCCAGAAATATTTCACAAGAACAGTTCTCTGCTCCTCTACTCATTGTAGAATACCTTATGCCACCAGACTTGAAACTCTAGACCTCGAAAACCTAGAACTACGCCACCTCCGGTCCGATCTAATTATAGTATATAAAATCATACTTTGCAATGTCCTACCTGCAAATGAATACTTCAGCTTCAGTCATAACAATACAAGAGCACATAATAGATACAAACTCAAGGTTAACCGCACCAAACTTGACTGCAGAAAATACGACTTCAGCAACAGAGTGGTCAATGTTTGGAATATTTTACCTGACTCTGTGGTTTCTTCCCCAAACCCCAAAAACTTTAACCTTAGACTGTCTACTATTGACCTCACCCCCTTCCTAAGAGACCTGTAGGGGGCGTGCATAAGCGCACCGATGTGCCTACCATCCTTGTCCTATTGTTTTTTATTTTTCTTACAATTATCTAACTCATGTATTCAAAACTATATTTATTCTTATACCTGTATCTTGTAAGCAATTGACAAATCAAATAAATACTAAAATACTGAAAATCCATAATTACATGTCTCATCAATTTATTTATTTTGGTGCAACTTCCCTCTTCATTGAAACAACTTTGTTTTTCACATACATAATTCTCATTTTAATTATTCCAACAATTCCTACATATGTCCCATCCAAGTTGGATAGTGTTAAACTTACGATAGGGGTGTAATGATATATGTTACAAAAAGGCTTTCTCTTTCCTTTTTCTTTCCCTTTTTCTTTCCCTCTTTCTTTCTCTTGAGGAAGGTTGGTCTTCAGTTGCTATAAATGTTCTCTCATTGCTTCCTAGGCTGTATTTTACATCTTCTCCTAATTTGATATAACCCACATTTATAGAGGTATATACAAGAAAGCCTGCTTTTTGACATCTATATAAAATATTGATAGTTATGTTTCTTATTACACTGGATAATTAATTAATCCTAGTATAAATGGAGAGTTTATGCATCTCTAGAGTAAAATGCCAGCTCAAGAACAGAATTAAAGTTCTTCAGCGTTTGTGAGGGAAATAGGAGTTATTTGCATACCAGTAGGAGGAACAAAGGCTCCTTTTAAGCTGAGCTGAAGAAGAAACAAATATTATCCCAAGGAAGCAATAGGCATTTTGAATAGAATGTAGCCATTGTGATTGCATCTTAGAGAACATTACTTTCTAACTGAAATTCAATATGAGCCTCATGGGAGTTTGGAATTCATATTTGTAGAGAGTGAAGGGAACACTATTTGCAGAAATACTACTGATCAGTATAAAGCAAAAAAACAAACAAACCCTGAACTAACAGGTCTGTATCCTGCGTATCATATGGGAGACTTTACTTATATTTTAAAAACAACAACAACAACACCATAGCTGCAATTAGAGAAGAGTGTGTCATCAAAATGGAAAATCAGGCTGGAAAGTAAGATCAGCATGCTAAGATTAGATGCAAACAAGCTAGAATATGAATAAAGAAGAGAAACTAAAGAACAAGACCAAAGCATATCTGGTCAAGAAATATAACCTGGAAACAAGGAAGGTTAAAGATCACCGGAAACAACAAAGGCGTGTAATATAGTCAAGAAGATGAGCCAATACAAAGCTTGAATTCGCACACTATAGGCAGAATCGCCAATTTCAGCTGAATCAGAAATGTTTCTGCTAATCCATCAACAGAAAGGCTACAGTGAACCAGCCAGCACCTGACAAAGAAGAAACAGTATTGTTCTGAGCATAAGAACAATACAACAAGAATGCATCTTGGATAGAGGAGTTCATTAAGAATAAAAAAGAAGTTGAAATTTAACAACTAGTAATAACAGCATTAATGGTGGAGAAAAGGGCCAGGAAAATCAAGAATTGATCAGCACCAAGTGAAGATAATCTGCATGGGTTTTGATTGATCTATACTCATTCATTGCCAAGCAGTTTAACAACACATTGCAAGGAGGTGAAGATTAGTTAACATTTGGCAAAACTTATCTGATAATGGAAAAGTCAACAAAAGGACAACACCAGGCAACTACAGGCCTATTACCTTTTTCACCAATTTACCTTTATACAACAACTTTCAAATTGCTAACTAATGTGGAAGCTGATGCAGGTCAACAACATCTAGTTGAAAACAATGTCTTTCTACCTGAACAGAAACAGAATACCCAAGTTACAGAGGAACAAAAGAACAGCTACTAATTGACACAACAATGTTGGAAAACTGCAAGAGAAGGAAGACCAACTTGAATATAGCTTGGATTGATTATGAGGAGACATTGACTTCCTGTGCATGATTACATAGTCAGTTGCCTAGAAATAATAGGAATCATTATAAACACCAGACATTTGTGCAAAGATCAATGGCATAATGGAGGAGGTGATTGCTGGTCAATAGCTATACACTGTTGAGAGATTAATATCAAGTGAGGAATCTTCCAAGGAGACTCACTACTGTTGCACTGATTCATCTGTCAACAATGCTGAATAAGTCAGGCCATGGCTATCGAATACCAAAAACATTGTCAGGCTATCCCACCTCCTTTACTTGAATAATCTGAAGGTATATGGAAAAAGAGCATCTGAAATAGAATTGCTACTTGACACTGTTCATATTTACAGCCAACTTATTGCAGTAGAATTTTGACTGAACAGATGTCCCACCCTTACCATTAAATGTGGAAAAATAGTAAAGACTGAAGGAATCAAGATATCCTACAAAAATAACTTCAGTGTCTGGATGAAGGCAATTGCTATAAATACCTGGACATCCTTCAAGCTGATAACATCAAGCATACTGAAGTCAAGAAGGTGGTTAGAAATAAGTCAAGAAGGTTAGAAATAAACACTCAGTAGGGGAAATATCAGTGCAATGAGCACCTGGGCAATTCCAGTGTTTATTAAGTATATCATGTGATAATGACTTGCATGTCACATGAGCATGACTTGCAACTTCCTTTTGGCTTCCCCCATTAACATTTCTTGTCAGAAGCCAGTTCAGAAGTTTGAAAATGGCAATCACACAACTGCAGGACATTGCAGTTATTGTAAATGGATTATATTGGATGCAATAAATATGTCCATTATATTGAGAGATGTCAATGTGGCCCATTGTATCAGAGGTCTGCTAAAAGGGAGCCCATTAAACTCAGTGCACACTAGTGATATTATAAAAATTTCTTTTTGAAGAAATCATAACAATAAGATAAAATAACTGGGGAGGGGGGAACCCATGGATTTCACCCTCTGTAATGAGCAGTATGGAATAACCTGAACAGTCCCAACCCAAGCAATGATCTGATAAAAGATATCTGAATCCAGGACAGAAATGTATTTTGAATGTTTCAATGATCCCATAGTTCTCATGAAACTAAAGGTGGGGGGGGAAGCACATCAAGATGCACAAGTTTCTGTTGATATAACATCATAATATTAGCATTCATACCATAAATCTGATCCACCTTGAAGGGCAGATACTATCCTTTAGGTTAGATAAAGTGGTCATTTAAATAGCTATTCATGACAAGTTCTAATTTAGTTTGCTTAATAATAATTCCTGGAAATGTAACAAATTGGTATTTCTGAATCTTGGCTGCAAACATTCATGTTGTGAAGTCAGATTGTAAAATTTATGTGCGAGATAGCATTTTGGCATGCAATTTATTCAGAAGGGTTTGTTCATGCAATTATCTGAGAAAAGGTCTTTTGTGGAAAATTTGTAAAAGGACCAAATGGACTTATATCTATATTTTCATGAAATATAACAAATCAATATGTATCTGTTCCTTGACTTTAACTGCATTAAGCACACAGGTTTTCAGACAATCTGCAAATTTGTTCTCTTGATTTGCTATTAAAATATTTGACTTAAGTGATTTGTTTTTCTCTTGATATAGAGAAAATTATGCTATTTAAGAATGCTACCTTTTTACAGCACAAATGAAGAAATTAAATTAATTTTGTATGCAGAAATTATTATTATTGCAATAGGAAGTCAATCCTACTTCTAGCTTAGACCCATTCAACTCACTATATAAAAGTGTTTTATGGTTCTTTTAACTGATACTCCAATTAACAATTGTATATTTTTTATGGAAGTGGGTTATTTATAAAGGTAAGCTATGGATTGCTTAACTATGCCACAGTGTAATGTTTTCTGAATGGCTACTTCTGCAGGTTTGGAGAGGTACATTAGCTCGACTCCAATACAAGAGGACCCGAGCTTCCCTGAAGATTATAAAATGTTATCGTCGATACAAAGTAAAGTCTTATATCTGTGAAGTTGCCCGACGATTTCAAAATGTGAAGTCTATGAAAGATTATGGGAAGCATGTGAAATGGCCTAATCCTCCAAAAGTTTTACGACGGTTTGAAGAAGCTCTACAGGCAATCTATTACAGGTAAGAAATGGAGATCCCTGTCTTGAGTTATGGAGCTTGGTCAGTGACACACAGTATCATCAGCGTCTCTCTGTGGAGTTACCTTTGTAGACTGAATAGTACAGAAGCTACTTCAGGATATGTCAACCACAGAAAGAGTGCCATTGCACATTTCTAATAACATGAGTCAGTTGAACATCTTTTCTGAATGGAAATACTAATATCGATGGATAATTTTGTACTTTTCACAATCCTTTCCTTATGTCAAAGTTCCGTATGATGTCTTAATTTTTTTCTCAGATGGAGAGCACATGAACTAATCAAAAGTATCCCACCCAAAGATTTGCCACAAATCAAGGCAAAAGTGGCAGCATTGGAGTTGCTTAAGGGCCATCGAGGGGACATTGGATTACAAAGGAACTGGCAGGGCAACTACCTTGCTTTGGTAAGGTAGCAGAACCCTGTCAAAATTCAGTCATTGTTTTTTGCAATACTGTAAAAAATGAAAACATAGTAAGAGATGAATAGAGAAGTATGTGCCAGTTCTTGTCTAGATAAATTAATAATGTATTAAATTAATTAATATGTGGACAAACAAACTGAAATTCCTCCAGACAAAATAGTGATAATATTGTTCAGTGGGCAACCTAATTTGGGTATATTCTAGTCTAAACTGAACTCCTGAAAATGGAGATTTGACTTCCATATTCCAACTGTGCTTGAACATTTCTAGAATTGTCTCCAAAGGTTCTGGGCCAGTGGATATGTTTGGAAATTTAAAATCATATTATAGACACTCTTGCAATATGAATGTCAGGAGTATGTTTAGCCAATCAAAAAACACCTATATATCAAGATGGAAGCCTGTGTTGGAATTTTTCTGCATGCCCCTATATCTCCTTAATTTTTGTAATCAGACAGTTGTGGGGGAAATAAGAATAATTGGAATAACCGCAACAACAAAAATTTGGTGCAGCAATCCCCCCATAGGATTACCACACTGAACGTTCAGAAAGTCACTGAACTTTTGATTATTTTCCCGACTTTGGGGCATGGCAGTGATTGAACCCTATAGGATGCTATGCTTGTTGTAGAGAGTTTTCCTTTTGCATATCTATGTTCTGTCTCCTTATTTTTATTCCTGATTTCTTTTAAGCTTAAGCTAATGGTGGACAATAGCTAGAGTTTTATTATGAATATATATTTGAGATTTTGATTTGGAATGGTAAAGGTAAAGCTCTGGACTTGTTTTAATAATACTTAAATTTCTTATTTCTTAAGAATCCTGGTAATTCTCAGGCTATGGGTTCATTCACCTCTGTTACTTCTGAGTTGCAACGCAAGGACAAGTTCATGAGAATTCTTTTCTCATCTCAAGTTCGTAAGGTAAGCTGGAGAAGATTGGGAAAATCCTCTTGGGAAAAATCCTCTTGTACACTAGGTGTTTGGGACAAAAAATGGGCTTTAGGGGAAAATAAAGTCTTTTATTGTTGACAGAAAAAATGTAAGAGGTATTGGTTAGCACAATAGTAAGTTAGTTCAGTGGTGATGACTTTCTGGGTAATTGGGCCATGGTTTAATTATTTGGTGTCCTGACATTTCACCAATCAATATGGCTGGCATCTTCAGAGTTGAAAGTGTTCTGCTCTGTAACGCATTTAACTCCCTCTAAGTTCTTTTTATTCTCTGCATAGCCATGATTTCCATGAGTGGGGCAGTAGCCTAGAGGTAGAGCTCTCGCCTCACAATCAGGAGGCTGTGAGTTTGATCCTAGACAGCAGCAGATATTCCTCTCTCTCAGCACAATGAGTAAATATCAGCTGCGAACTCTACACTGGCAACAGGAAGGGCATCTGGCCATTCTGTTACCCCAACTCCACCCTGATGCAAAAGACACCCTCATTAAAAGACAAAAATAATAATAAAAATCATGATTTCCATCAGCCCTATTGTTTGCTTTGCTCAATTCATGTCTTCTAGAGCAGGGGTGTCCAACTCAATTTCATTGATGGCCACATCAGGTTGTGTTTGACCTTGGAGGGCGAGGGTGGGCATGGCACTCTGTCTGCAAAAATGGGCTCCCGAGCTCCGTTTCCAGCTGTGACAGCCTCCTGCAATCTTTGCCAGCAAAAATGGAGCTCCGTGCAGCCCTCCCGAACTCAGTTTTTACTGGCAGAGACTCCATGGGCCGGTCCCTTTCTGTTTCTAGAGTGGCCCTGCAAGCCAGATCTAAACAGGATGGAGTGTGACACCCCTATTCTAGAGTGCTGGGTCTCAGAATGTATTCTGCCATGTAACTTGTTTGATGAAAACAGCCTCCTTTTGTTCTTATCATGAATTCCAAAGCCAATGTCTATTATTTTTTGCTGTCATAAAATCTTTTCTATGATTTTAGCTTTCTCACATATTTATCTTTCCTCTTTATTTTTGCTCATTGTCGGTATCAGAAATAAGTTCATGTTTGTTGAAATAAAACATGCAAAGCATAGGTGCAGACTCCCTACATTCATAATGGATACTCATTGTGTTACTGCTAGTCAATGATTTCTAGGGTGTATCCTTGTGTATTTGTCACAAGCTTTTCTGTGCCTTATGTATTAGTCTTGGATAAATTGCTGTTGTATCATTTGGAACACACTGATGGTACAAAGCACTTGTATAACAGCAGCAGTAATTCCAGCTACATTGTTCTGAACATAGAATATGCTAATAGCAATTATTAGAAGACTAGAAAAGAATTAGTTGCTAAGGTAGTGGAATGGTGAAATAGAAAGCCTAATATGGAAGCCTAGCTATTTTGGTGCACCTGGATGGTGAAGCAATGAGGATAAATTATGGCTCTGAGGCAGAATTGGCAGGAATCTGTAGAACCTGTTGATGTAGTGACTGCTCTGGTACTAGTATATCATGATTTCTGCCAAGCCTAAACAATATCTCAATTTAAAAGCTGTCAGGTAATATAATTTGTTTACCCTTTTACTGAAAACCTTCAGAAAGACTTTTAAATAAGAGTTTAGTGTATTAAGCTGAAAGGATTCTTTGAATAAAAGAGCTGTAGGACTCTTCCTTTTATTAAGACATGGTTCCATTAACATGCCTGAGACCATTTTGCAGTAATTCATCAGTAATCTACTTGTGTAGCTTCATTTGTCCTCTAACATTTCATAATTTCTCAAATGATATTTAGAATCTATTTCTATTCTCCCCTCGCTGAACTTTTCCACAAGGCCCCACGAAACAATGATCAGTAATAATAATCTTAATCTTTTGAAGTGATATTCAGCATGCTCCCTCTGCATGAGCATATTATATTACCAAGCAAAAGGCATGTTGTGATTCACATGATTGCAATGATTGCAATCAGGAAAATACAGATAAAACTAGTATCTGTACCAAGCCTTATTACTGTATATACTGTATATTTTTCTCAGCTTTTTCTCAGCTTTTTTCTGGGGTAGTTGGTTGTATCTTGAAGAACTTCCTTTCTGTGTTTCTCTGTGCAAAATCATTTTGCACTAAAAGAAAACATAGCATTTAATGGTCTTGGACTCTTCAGGTTCCCCTTTTGTCAAATATATTGGGCAAGAACTACTGCTATGTTCAAAACTTTCCAATAAAGATGCAATACATCATAATTTGAATGTAAGCTTTCTTCTTTTCTTCAGTACAAAGGAAAGCTCCTTATATGTAAGTCAAGATGCTGGTATTACAAGTGTGACGTCCTTGTTTTCTTGGAAGCCTGTGTGAGCATTGGTCATTACATATGATCTATAACTTGATACGATTCAAGTGATAACAATCCAGAGCAAAATAAAAACAATGCCAATAATTACTTGCATGATTTTGCACAAAGTAAGAATTCCTAGATTCAATTAACTGGAAGATGCTTTTCATGTTACTTCTAGCACATTCAGTTTTGAAATTCTTGATATGAACAAGATTAGGGAAACAGGGCCTGTCCCATTATATTCAATTAATTAATGTAGTATGCAAAGTTACATCCTGCGAATAACTGGATGACAATTAACTGACTCTTTCAAATCTACCTACTCATATATTTAGATAGCCTTGCCCTTGATTTTGATCATGTTTGTTCAATAAATTTGGCCAGAAGATGTACATCTTAATGACATTCAATTAGCACATCGATAGTTTTTTTACTGCCTCTTTGTATTTTTCCATATTAATTATAGTAGTAAAGACGGTAACGGAAGCAAAGCAAGTTAGATATTAATTAGATACAGAGCAGTAATGGTTGCCAGAAAAATACCACACTTGCCCTTTTGTTTGTTGTCAAGGTTCTTTTTCTTGCAACTGAAAAGTTCCTCTTTTTCATCTTTACAAGCATTTTCAAGATTGATTTTAAAGTTACTTCAGGAGAGATCTACTGTTTAAGAAAATAAATTGAATTTTTCTGCTGCCTTTGCACCCAGCGAGACTTAGAATTCCAGTCAGAAATAGTTCCTGGGTTGCCATTTGCTTAACAGAAGGATTGCCAATACCATAAAAGATAGCCATCAGTGACAAGGAGGTATATTTAAAAAGCAATGCAAAGAAATTGAGAGTAATAATTGAATGGGAAGGGCATGCAATATCTTTAGAAAAGTAAGAGAAATCAAGGGGATTTTTTCTGCAAAGTTGGGCACACACACAAAAAAGATCCAGAGTGCAAAGACCTATTGGAGAAAATTTACAGAAGAAATTGTATTAATATACAGAAGAACTGTGCAGAAGAGATGCCTACTGTGTGTTTCCGTGCAAATCCCCCCCCCCCCCCCTTCTCTCTCTCTCTCCCCCCCCCCCCCCCCCCCGTGTAAATATTTGATCACTGAATTAGAGACAAATTCTGGAAGTTGGATTAATGGATCCTTGAAAATATTGCTAATATCAATGCTACAAAAGTTGATCAGAGACCAAAAATCAAAGATAATTCAGTTAAAATGTCCAAGACTTGAAAATATAAGATTTGTATTCCGGGTACAAAATGGGGCACTGCTAAAGAATGCTCATATCTAGTTCAACTTATTTTCTACTCAAATAGGACAATTGTTAAGGTTTTGCCATTTATATTCAAAAGCACATGGAAAAATAACTGCCAGGTGTAACAAACAATATTCAGAAGAGGGATAGGATGTAGAGGATGATTCCAAGACATATTTACTGTCTTATTTAGTGAGAAAGCTCAAAAACTAAAAATAAGATTCATGATGGTTGTGGCAAAACAGGCCATGGCACAATATTGTAAAAATTCAGAGGATCCATTATAAGATCTCTGATATGGAAAATGGTTGTAATAGAATATTTACCTTTGATTCAATTTGGGGGGAAATAGTTATTTTTGAAATGCGTAACAGGTCAACAGCCTCTTCTTGTTTAGCATAGAACATATGAAAGTTTCTGTTGCAATCTTCACCTCTTTTTAGATTTTTTTAAATAGGCATGCTTGTTCTTTAATTAATAAATTATATTAAATATTTTATAAAATAAAAATATACTATTCACTAGGAGCACTTACAATGAAGTTTAGATGTTTTGGACAAGCATGTCAAGTCGTTGGAGAAGACTATGATTTTTGGAAAAGGTTTGGAAGGCAAGTGAAAAAGAGTCTTAACAGAAAAAAGAGTCTGATAAAAGATAAAAGTAGCCAGGTGCATCATTGGTGACATAAGCATTGACTCACAAGAACTGAAAGAAACAGTTACTAAAAAATAATTCCAGAAAATTTATGTCCTTTGAGTCACAAAAATTTGGAAGTGACTAAGTGACTGGACAACAGTAATTTTCAGGAAAGTAAGTAGCATATAGCAATAATGAGAATGAAAGGTAATAGTGGAGGAGGAATGGGCAAAAAAACCCAAACAGAACCACGGAGATCTGAGCAGGTTATATTTAATGTTAGGTGAGGATAAACTTGGAAACTAATTGGAAGAAAAAATATCTTCCTTAAGGTTCTTTTTTTTAATTATTAAGTTATAAGGTATTATAAAATACAAAATCAAATAAGAAGATAGTGAGGGGGAAGGGAAAAGGGGAAAAAAAGTGAGGAAGTATAGGAAAAGAAAAAGAAACATTAACTTCCGACTCTGTCTGTTACAGTAGAATAAGGCATTAACAACAAATCACAACTTTTTGTTTTACCATAATAGTTTGTACCAGTCATTTCTATAAAGATCTATCAATCTAATATGCAAAACCCAAAATCAAAGTTTTATTCTTTTTTACATCAAGCACACAGTTCAGAAGCGATTTCCATGTGGAAACAAAAGTATTTATGTTCTTTTCTTTAAATAAAGTAGTCAAATTCACAATTTCGTCCTTTCCTTGGCTTCAAAGTAGCAGCAGGCCACAGCAATTTCCCAGAACGGGAACCAGTTACCATAACATATCATACATCCAATAGTGGATCAAGAACATGAAGAGCTGGACAGCAGCTGCCTGAACATGAACCATGCTGCTGGCTAAAGAAATTGACACCTAGCAGCATAGCAGGCTTTCAGTCAAACTGGCCAACACAAGGAAATACAATGCTCATTATGAAAAACCCCCACTAGGGAAGAATACCATCCAATCTGACAATAACCTGCTTTCTCACAACGTGGAAAATCCTATCAGACATCATTACTATCCAGTTTTTTCTGCAATTATTAAGCAAATCACAGCAACATTTAAAGCAAACCATGCGGTCATTAATTGAACCTGATTTCAAAAGCTTTTGACTTTGTCAAAAGCCCCCTGGGAAGGTTACAAATGGTGATCGCATGATCCTGAGATACTGCAACTATTGTAAATACATGCTGGTTGATAAGCATCTAGATTTTAATCATAAAACCTTGGGGTTGCTGCAGCAGTTTTAAGTTGAGGACTGGTTGTAACTCACTTTTTTCACATCATCATAATTTCAGTCATTAAAGGAATGGTCATAAGTTAAGAACTACCTATGAGGAGTGTTCTTGTGATGTCCAGCAGAGATAGTGCATGCAGCCTGGTCAAATTTAAGTTCTAACAAAATTTCAAAATTGTGATGATGGAGAGATAAAAAACTGCAGTACCCATTTGAAAAGACCTCACACACTGTGTAGCTGGGAACCAATCTTGCTTGATTTGAAGGCTGTTTGTCTCAGATGCACTGGTCGTGTCTAGTGTTTTTGAAATTGAATGGATAGAGGCTCTCTAGCAAGAGCCCTATAGGGAGCAAAGTTTGACAGGTCCTATCTCTAAGAAACTTTGTCCTGCTCCTTTGCCAAATTAGTCCGCCTTGATTGTGGAGTATACAGAAGGCTCTTTGTGGGCAGTGTGTCAGGTATTCCTGCTCCCAATCTACTTGAGACTTTATAAATAGGATCCAAACATCTTGAAATGTGTCACAAAAATAATTAGCAGTTAGAGCAGTTCATGAAAAGCTGGTGTATATCAATAGAGCGGGTGCTAGAAAGCAATCTGCTCTATTTTCCACTAATTACAATTCTCAACATGGAGTCCTCATTATATCCTGTTTCTAAAATACCCGAAACAAAAGTTGGAGTTATTTCCTGAACATGAACTCTGTATGAGGTGTAGGGTGTAGGTTTCATTTTCTAGCTTTTAAAGCCAAATAATATATAGAGTTAGCTCCTTTATCTTGGATTAATTCATAGATATTTCTAATAATGAAATGGGGTGAGATTAAATGTGACGCTTTGCTAACAAGGCAGGTCAGTTTATTGAGATTAGAGATAGTTTCAGAAAACAAGACTAAAATGTTCTGTTCTTTCTCTTTCTCATATCTGACACTCTCTCTGCTAAACAACCGTCATTTCATGATAACAGCACGCAGTGATTAATCGGTGGCAAAAATATTTCCTTCACTCCATTAACTGATGGCCAGATTATTTTAAAAAATCATTGTTTTTGGTTAGTCTTTTATTGCTCCCTAGACTGAGCCCTAGAAGAGTACTCCACAGCTGTGTGACCAAAATAAAGAAAATTTGTCAGATCCAAATCTGTCAACTTTTGGTGAATGATGATATAAATCTGAAGCAAGTCTAAAGTCTGGGGTAGTTCAGTGTTCTTTATGTCAAAAGAATACCTTAAATTGATATTGTTACAAAAGGCTTAATAAAAAATATACAGATTTGTACTATTTTTTATAATACTATTTTCTATCCATATTGTTGAAATAAAATTCAGTTGTTTAAAGCAAAATGTAAACATTTTAAGGAAGCATTTGTCATATTTCCTTTATAGCAACCTGGACTTCAAAGCGTTAATAAAAAAAAAAGTTATCAGAACTCTAATATATGTTGTTGATGTTGAAATAATAAAATTTCAATGTCAACAATTCCAGTAAGCTGTCTTATTTTCAAATGAGATATCTATATAACGCAGATCAAGATTCAGGTCTTTGCAACAATAATTCTTTCAGTTTGTGCGTAATATATTGTTTTTAAGAAAATAATTGTAATACTAGTGTGAGTTTTGATTATTTGCAGATAAACCGCTTCAATAAGGTAGAAGATCGAGCTATTTTTATAACTGACAGGCATCTTTATAAGATGGACCCTATAAAGTACTACAAAGTGATGAAAACTATCCCACTGTATAATGTAAGTATTACTCTGTTAGCTTCCTAGATATTTTCTTTGGGATTTATTTTTTATGCGTTGTAACTTGCTAATTTTTTTGTGGTTATACAACAAGAAAGTTTCCATTTGTTGTACTGTTTTCTTGCTATATAGAATTTCCAATGGTTGAAAATTTCAGCATGGTTTAACAGAATGTGATCATCTTAAAATAATGTTGCAAATCCCAAACAGAGAAGTAGATCTTGAAATCCTTATCTAAATTTTGCTTTTAGCTATTGTACCTATTCATGCATTATGATCTCCATACTCTTCAGTGTAATCATATAATATCTACTGACCTTCCCCTGCCATTTCCCATTGTCATGGCAATCCTTTGGTCTGTATTGCTATATTGCTCAGTTTTCCTGCTGTATATTCACACAGTAGCTTAGTGCATGATGGGTTTTCCCAAGTTAAAAGGTCAGAATTTATTTTAAAGCAAAAACAGTGATATCATCTGCAAGCTCAGTTCCTTCATCTCGTAAACAATTCTTTCAGGAGCTAGGTGGGTGCCTTAGGGTGGGAAATAAATTTCTCCAATTAGAATTTATTGTTAAAGTTTCGCCTGTTTTGGGAATGACTTGTCTTGAGTAGCAATTAAAATATGCCAGCTTATATTCAAATAGCTTGATTTTTTTGACACTTAAGAGTGAAAATGCTAAGTAGCTGTAAGGGAGAGAGAGGGAGAAGAGAGAAAATGAAAAAATATTTATTTTTAAGATAACTAGGATGGTCCATTTTTGATTCTCAAAAACATGTACCTCATGATAGGGCTAAAATCTCAGTGTTTATGAGATTTCTCTTGAAGATGCAGATAGACAAATTACTTTAGTTGCGATATGAAACTTAAATAGTTTCTTCCTTCGTAATAGTTATTTTTGGCTTACTTATGACCAACAGAGAATCAGCTTTCTGTATGCTACATTAACATTCTTACAGTGCAAAGTTTAATGAAATCATCTTATATAGTGGCTTTTCAAAATTAGTCAGACTTTTCTTTTCTTTTAGCATATGTGCATTCCTTTAAGGCAGATATGTGGAGTTGATGCTCCATCAAGCTTACTTCCAACCAATTTATAATTTGTTTAGTTTATATACTGGTCCTTCTTATCTAACCATAACCTTGACTTCCCCCAAGGAAATCTGGAATTTAAATTTAATGAGAACAAGAATTCTTAGAGAAGAAATGAAGGCATTTAAAATATTTAGAACTGCATTTTGGGTGGCTTCACCTAGCTTCATCTTAAGGCTTAAAATTTCCAGTAAAAACATAATTTAGCAATTGCTGGGATCAGTTTTGCTAATTATAAGAATGCATATAACAGATCCAGTATAACTTGAATAAAAAGCAACTGAGAGGAACAAATGAAATGACTAGCATATTCAAATAAAATCCGTCTTCTCTTCGTTAGTTGGATATGGGAATGTTTTCAATAATGGTTGCTATGTGTTCTGTGGTACAGCTAGTCTAGTTCCTTAGCATCAATGGGGCACATTTAGCAACACTTACTCTCAGCATGTTGCCCCTGGTGGGTGATTTTGCCCAGTAGAGTGTTTTTTTTTTCCTCATTATATTGAAATACTTTAAAAAATAATAATGAACCGTTTCAAGGTTTTAAATTGCAATTAAGTTGAAAAACATCAATCATTTATTTTTATCCACTCTATTTCATAGTATAAATGGTTAATATATTGTTTGTAGCTTTTATTTTTCTGGAGAAGCCCTGGAAATTAGTTTCCTTAGAAATTTTGTGAACAGAATAATATTAAATTATTGATGTCTAATTCTTCCTCGCATGCATCTCATTTTTAATTTTAAATAATATATGGTGTCTGTACTGAAACCAGTCTTGTTGAGCTTCATTTGTCTATCAGCCCATGTCACTATCATGGTTTCTAAAGGTTCCTTGTCAACATAGCAATATTCCCATGGAACCTGTTGCCATAGCAGGCATCAGCTGATGTCTGGTTCTTCTGCAGTTTGTTTTCTAGTTTAGGAAGCTATACGTGTGACTTCTCACCTTTTTAAAAAGGGATATATCACCAAGGAGAAATATTTATTGGGTTGTCTTTGACTTTTAGAAATTGAAACAGTTGTTTTTGGATGAAGACGATGATGATATTGTTGTTGTTGCAAGATAAAAATTCCAAGATGGAGGAAATTTTGAAATATGGAAGAAATATGTTCATTTTATATTTAGCCAAGAGTGTGCTATATATAAACGTTTTCATTTGTTAATGTATAATTTACTGTTTTTACTGAAAAGAAAAGTTGTACATAGTATTGCTATTGCTTTACACAATTTCTGTTAAAATGATCCAAGATTAATTACTGCAATCAATTTGGTATATTAAGAATGTGGATTAATGTATTATGAAGTATATCACAAAGCAATTGTCCAGTTGCTTCAGTGTGTCCTATTAAGGCAAACCACCCTAGTTCATGACAACTCCCAACAATTAGAATAAATTTAAATCAATTATAGCATTCCTAGGCTTAGGTTACATTGATTACCTTTCTATTTCAAAAATTACCAAAACAAATTACAGACCAAAGCTGCATTTACATGTAATGTTAAGCCAGAGTTTTCCAACAGCATTTTCATTTTCCTCCTCAATCTTGTGAGACGATACAGCCTAAACTGAGGATTCCTTTAACTGAATATGAAATATTAGTGAACCTTATAAGTGAGATGCTAATGATGTAGTGTACTTGCTTGAATAAATAGGCTTTAAACTGGATTTACATAGTAATCATTTCTACCTATAAGTATTGCTATTTTGAATTCTCTTAATAACACTAGCTTTCTGTTCCACAGAACATGAGTCAATCTTAATTTTTCCATCCGGAAACAGATAGTTCTAGAAGATTAAACTGGCATTTTCTTTTTGAGCTTCAATAGAATCTAATCATGAAATTAGATGTCTCTTTATATTCCTTAAAAAATTAATGGTTGGGATAATCTAAATCAGTGGTCACCAACAGGTGGGCTGAGTACCACTGGTGGTCTACAAGAAAATGTTGGTGGTCTGCAGAAAAATGTCCCGCACAAGCACTCCCCCCAAAGCACCTAATCCAGACTGCGTAGGAACACAAGGCTGTGCTGCCCCACATGGCCCACCCACCCACTGGCCCCCACCCTTTAGCCAGGCACAAACTTACCTTGAGTAGAGCCATGTGAGCTAGAACTGGAAGGTAAGACCAATGGCAGGGGAAGGAAATCTGCCCCAGGGTGGCTTGCTGACGTTGGTGGGAAAGTCGGTCCCATATTCCACAGCTGCAGTAGTCACAGTGGTCATCCCAGAGCAGCTCCTCCAGGCCATGGCAGGCCAGTGCACCTGAGTGGAGGAGCAGTTGCTCCGGGATGACCAAAGGGCCAGTTCTGTGACTATTGCAGCTCTGGAATATGAGACCAACTTTCCCATCAATGTCAGCAAGTCACCGTTAGTCAAAATTCATATTAGTGGTCTGCAGGATTTAAAATTATGAGTTTGGTGGTCTCTGAAGTCCAAAAGGTTGGTGACCCCTGACCTAAATATAGTGGAACATTCTTGTATGTGTATACTTTTGTTATATTTTAACATTGAGGCTTTTGGATAATATTTAACAGCAGAAGTGCAGGGGTGTGAAACTGGTGGCCTAGGGGCTGGATGTGTCATGCGCAGGCCACACCCACCCCAGGTCTGTAAAGGGGAAAAAGACACGAAACATCACGTGATGGCAATGTGACAGAATGAGTTTGACACCTGTGTAGTAGAGCTAATTATCACTCAAGATCTTCTTATTCATGGACTGGGGACAAGATGGTAAGGGCAATGACAAAGTGACATGGGAAAATTGATATTGTTGAGACACAATTGTTCCAGGGGTGGGATTCTACCAGTTCGCACCTATTCTCTAGAACCGGTTGTTAACATTCTAAGCAGTTCAGAGAACCGGTTGTTAGAAGAGATTACTGGCCTAATCCTGTAAGGAAAGCAGGAAGGAAACATTCTGGTGTTGCTTACAGAAACTGCCTCTCCATTAACTTTATTACATTCTTGGCAGGACTAGATTTCCTGTCTCTGGAACTCCGCTTGAGTTTTTTTTCCCCTCCTTTGCTGGTCCTTTGCTTGTATGGAGTGACCACTCAAAGTTACAATGGCACTGAAAAAAGTGACTTATGACCATTTTTCACACTTACGACTGTTGCAGCATCCCCACAGTCATGAGAGGCCAGGCGAGGATGTGTGCCTCGATGTAAGTGATATTGAGCTGGCCACGCCCAGCCAATAACATGACCACCAAGCCATGTTCTCCCAGTCACATGACCACCAAGCCAAGCCCAGCAACTAAGCCACACCCACAGAACTGGTTGTTAAAAAATTTGAATCCCACCCCTGAATTGTTCTATGGTTAATTAACATGTAGGAATCTTGCCTAAGAGAACCATTGTATGATAGATTTCCTTGAGACACAACAAATACTCTTAAAAATCCTTGCCTTTAGTCTATAAAGCATATACTAGAGCATAAAACATCACTAACTTTAACATTCTTGTTTCATGCAGCTAACAGGACTGAGTGTCTCTAATGGAAAGGATCAGCTTGTGGTTTTCCATACAAAAGACAACAAAGATCTAATTGTTTGCCTTGTCAATATGCATTCACTTAATGAAAACAGAATTGGGGAGCTGATTGGAGTCATGGCAGATCACTTCAAAAGGTAAATATGAATATACTCCTCTGAATCTGAAACAAATATGAAAGTAGAAATTTGATTTAGGTAGTCCTTGATTGACAACCATTCATTTAGCAACTGTTCAAAATTACAATGGTACTGAAATAAATCCATTCCTTACAGTTATGATTATTACATCATTCTCATGGTCACATGATTGCAATTTGGGCACTTGGCAACCAGCTCACATTTATGACCAGTTACAGTCACATGATCAGGATTTGCAATCTTTTTTGCCAGTTTATGGTAAATGGTAAACCATTTGGAAGAATGGTTTGCACTTACAATCATAAGTGCCAAAACACTAATTGCCAGAACCAAACACCTGGCAGACAAGACACACATAAAGACTGAACTATGCACCCTGACTAAAGTATTGACAGCCAATGGCTTCCACAAAAGCAAAATCACTGACTTGATCGACAAAAACACACTGAGACATAATGAAGACCTAGAAGATGAACAGATCTATGGAACAACTGTCCTGCCCTACATAAGAGGTACTACAGACAAAATCAGTAAGATACTACACAGGCATCACATCAAGACTGCCTTCAAAACAGACAGAAAAATAGCAGCCATCCTAAGAAACCCCAAAGATAAAATTGACCTGGAAAACCAAGGCATATATAAAGTCCCCTGTGCATCATGCCCTGCCACACATTGGACAGACCAATGGAAGAATAAGTACCCACCTAGATGAACACAAAAATGCAGTAAAAAAGCTGGAACGCACTTCCTCACTAGTCCAACACATGAAAGCTGCAGGTCATAGCATTGACTTCAGTGGCACCAAAACCCTAGCCACTATAGAAAACCCCAGCTACAGAATTATCAGAAAAGCCATAGAGGTTGAAAAAAGACCTGAAAGCATGAATAGACGAGATGACTCCACCAGACTGTCAATTATCTGGAAGCCTGCACTGTCAAAAAAAAAAAAAAAATCTCCACACCACAAGCCAGCCAAACACCTGGGCACAAACAGATCCTCCTCATACCTCCAGCTCAAAAATACCCCAACCAGGCACCCAGATGAAACCTAGCTTCCTAATAAATGATAGCTGTCCATTTACTTGGAGCCATACTAAAAGCCTCCAATACAGCAAACACAATGTTGCCAGCCAATCAAGACAAAAAAAGCTGATGATGGCAGATGAAATTCTGCCAAAACTTTGCTACAACTTTAAAAGCACAACTATAATGATGTGGGAAAATACCCGAACAAAGCTGAATACCATACATATAAATACCTGCGAAAATGTATATATATATATATATAAGTTTTCGCAGGTATTTATATGTATGGTATTCAGCTTTGTTCGGGTATTTTCCCACATCATTATAGTTGTGCTTTTAAAGTTGTAGCAAAGTTTTGGCAGAATCTCATCCATATACACACACACACACACACACAGATGAACACAATACAGAAGCCTGATGATGGCAGGTGAGATTATACATACATACATATACATATATATACATATAAACACATATACATACACACACACACACACACACATATACATATACATATACATATACATACACACAGTCACCAAACAATTCCCATTGGCTAAATTACTGTTATGGCTATCCCAGCTCAAAATTCTTGCACACTGACACTCCTCCCTTTATGACTGGAATAGACATAAAACTGAATAACTCAGTATTCTTCCCATGGTGCATTCCACTCAATGGCTTGGTCATTATATCTGCAGATTGTCTTCTGAAGAACAGTGAAGCAAGTTAATTAATTTACATTTTATGGCTTTTCTTACATTACAATATTTAATATCCACATGCTTGCTTTTATTCTTTTCTCTGTCACCTGTTGCCATTTTTATGCAAACAGCATTATCCTCCAACACCATTACAGCTTCATTTACCTTTATGTTTAAATCCTTTTACAGCTGTATGTACCAAGTTACCTCTGAACAAAGCTCAGATAGAACAATAAATTCTGCCTCTGCCATAGAAATGGCAATAGTTTTCTGGACTTTCAACCAATTAAAGCCCTTCTAACTAATATCACATTCCCAGAATTGGACTTCCTGGTTTTTACATCATTGGCATAATCACTATCAACATAACATTTCAATTTTAATTCTTCAGAGTCCTGTTTTGAAGACCCAAATTCACAGTTCCTTTCAAACACCTGAGAATCCTTTTTACACCCATCCAATGCAATTGTGTTGGTGCAGCAGTAAAGCGACTTAAAATGATTACAGCACAAGCTATGTCTGATCTGGACCACTGTGGTAGATATAACAGGCTTCCTATTGCTGACTGATATATTTCTTGATCACAGGCTTCACTTTTGTCCTCACCTAAATTGTTGTGAAAATCTGATGTTGAAGCAGAATTACAATCTTTCATGTTGTATTTCTCCAACAGCTGTTCAATTTTTCGTCTTTGACTGAGAACATAACCACTTTTCTCAGTTTTTTATATCTCTACACCAAGTTTGTTTTGTATTTCACCCAAATCAATTCAATTTTTTCTCTAATCGATTAGCAAATTCATTTTTCTGTGACAAATCCTTTGCGATGAAACAAAGATCATCCACACATGCTAATAATTGACAATCCCCACCTTGTAACTTTCCAGTATATATGCAACCATCAGCCTTGCAACTCTTGAACCCAAGACCCTTCAGTGCCATATCTAAACAAATATTCCAATTCTTGGCTGACTGCTTCAACCTATAAATGGCCTTCTTCAATTTATACACAATTTATCTTCAATTTATATAGTGTTAAGCTTTTTACTTTCATACCCTGGTGCTTGAACCATGTAAATTTCTTCCTCTAATTCTGCATTGAGGAATGCTGTGGTTATATCAAAATGCTAACTTTTATGGCCACATGCCACTGCCAATGCTAGTGTAACTTATGCTTTCACTCTTTACAGTTGGTGCAAATACCTCATCATAGTGCACGTTTTTCCTTTGTGAAAAACCTTGTGCCACTAATCTTGCTTCATATTGGATCTCATTGTTGGGTAGCACTTTCTTTTTGTACATGCATTTACATTCTATGGCTTTGCAACCTTGTGAAAAGTCATAGATGTTAACACTTTATGTTCACCCATGGATTTCATTTCATTGTCAATGGCTTCCTTCCACTTCACTGGTTTACATTTGGGTAGTGCCAACACTTCCTGATAATTTCTTGGCTCATTTCACACATTACATATCTTTACTTAACTAGCAGAATATCTTTCAGGTGGAATCCTCTTGTTCCATCGCTCTGACCTGTGTGGCATTGACTGCCTTGAGTTTCAACCCTCTCTTGCTTCACCTCCGAGTTATCATCTTCTCCTGACTCCTTTTCTAGTTCTTTTTTAGTTTCTCCTCCCTGAATGCTGACACTTTCACTAAGTGGGTCACCATCACTAAGTGGGCCACTGTCACTAAGTGGATCATTCCAAAAATTGGCATCAATTCTGTTCCAATTTTGCTCTGCAAAAATAACAGACCTAGAAATCACTATTCTCTTGCTCCGATCACTAAAGCGATAGCTCTTTGAGCCCATAAACCTGAGCTTTCTATCCTTTGGTTGACCTTTTCTTCTGATTGCTTTTGGAATATGTCCCCTTGCATTGCTTCCAAACATCCTTAAATGTGCCAGAGATGGCTTTCTCCCATATAGTACAGCATATGGAGTACCATTAATAGATGAACTCCATAGCCTATTGATTAAATAATTAGCAATCAACATGGCTTCACCCCAATATGACCTGCTTGGACCAGAATCCTCCAGCAGTGAGTCCTTCGTTGTCTGTAAGGGTCCATTCTGCCTCTCGGCTATACCATTCTCAGCTGCTTTGTATGGATTTGTGTGTCTGTGTTTTATTCCTAACTGTCTGAACCACTGTTGAAAACTTGCTGACATGAATTCTGAACCTCTTGTCAGTTTGCAGCTGACATACCTGTTGTTTATATCTCTACAAAGCTTAGCCATTGCTTAAAATTTCTGTAGCACCTCTATTTTATTCTTTAGTAAATAGCAGAAACCAAATCTGCTGTAGTCATCTACAATGACCAGAACATACTTTGCTCCTCCCAAACTGGCTTGCATTGACCCAACCAGATCTGTATGTACTAGCTCTATAGCCCTTTTTGTCTGCCTTGTGCTGCTCTTGCTTACTGGAAATACCTTGGACTTCGATGACTTACATATTGCACAGTCCAAGTATGCCTTATACCCTTTTAAGTTTAACCCTTCTCCAAACTGTTGCATCTTTTGCAAAAACTCTGAAACTGGCATGGCCAAGTTTTCTATGCAAGAGATGAATGCATGAATCATGTTGTGCCATATTCCCAAATGTTTGGGCACATTGATCCTTTTGTCCCTGCAACGCATAAAGATTATCCTGTTTTATGCTCTGTGCACATACACTCCCATTTCTTCTTATGAGACATTTCCCATTTACAAATGTGGTCTCAAAACCTTGTTTGTCTAGACTAGAGACACTCGGTAAATTATGCTTCATTTCAGTACACATAATATGTTACTAAACTTTTCCTCCAGACATGGAATCAGCACACTGCCTTTTCCTGTGACGTTAGCTTTCTGGCCATTTGCTAAGGCTGCTGCATCCCCTCCAGATGGATCCATTCTGAAAAACAATTTAGATTTATTAACAATTGTTTGACTTGCCCAACTGTCTATTAACCATTTGTCTCTGCTATTACAATATCTAACTTTTGCAACAGTAGCTTGTCCATCTGTCATTTTTTTTCCTTGCAAACAGTCTTTAAATGAGTCTTATCACCACAAATGAAACATCACCTCTGCTTCTATTCTGTTTCTTTCTTTGTAAAAAATATTTGCTGGGCTGTAATCCGATCTCTTCTATTACTTTGGTCTTTGCAGACATCCTGTCTGTTGCTTTTCTCTCCCCCCCCCCCCCCCCCACACACACACCTCAGGAATTTCTCCTCATGGCTTCTTCTAAAATGGCATTTGTTTTCTTCAGAA